GTGTTAATTTCATGTCATTTTTTTTGAATATTACAACAACTACTTTATGATAAGTTGATTAAAATAAATTATTAAATTTTAATTTTAATTAGAAAAATGTATAATGATGAATTTTATTTAAAAATAATAATTAAAATAAAAAGGACAGAAAAAAAGCAAACATGAAAGCAATGTTACAATGAACGGTGCATAATGAACGACTCTCATGCCTTGTTCCTGGTAAGAGATTTTTTTTATATATAATAATTATAACTATAACTGTAATGTATCAGTGAACAAAACAGTTTTATTTATAAACGAGTCTTAAAACTCGAGTCCTCACTCAGCCCATTGAAGGATCTGGAAGGTTGTTTGTCAGTTTTGGGGGGTCCATGAAAACATTTCCCCGTATCGTATCTATGAACAGGCGGGGGTTGTTAAGATATCGGACGGTTGCTATCAAACTCAGCCACTATTTGAAGAAAAAGGCCTTTCATCATCGCCCATCAGATAGTGATTCTTTATCTGTTGATTTATAATATCAGTAACAGTCTTTATCTCTGGAGGGTGGAGGATGGAGCTTTTCTGTTTTGCGTTCTGGTAGAACATCTCTGGAGAGGATGGATCATGGTCCGTATGGACCCACGCATCACTAACATCAAGTCACGTTGGAATTAGCGCGAAATAGTAGAGGTCAATGCTTCTTTTTCGCTTCTTTTTTTTGTACCATACAAATTTACTGAACCGGCCCAGCTCCTCTATCAATGCAAGGTCTAGATAGTCATTTACATAGGTCAGGCCGGAATGATTCAAAACAACATTATCTCAAGATTTTTCTGAAAAGAACTTCAATAAAATTTCAGCTGAGTTTACTAAGATGGATTTGTTAGATCAATCGTATCATACGCCTTAGATCAACTTTCATTTTATGTAATTTAAATCTTTTTTGAATTTAAGAAAAATTTACTTTTAAAAAATATATTTTATAAATTTAGATAAATAAACAAAACTTTAATTATTTTAATTTTTTATAAAAGATACATAGTCTTACTCAGTTTAAAATCTGTTATATAAATTTTAATTTTTTTATTATCATATCACATTCTTTGAGAATGTAATTCAAAACCCGATCGAGCTAGCAAATAAATTAACATATTATCAAGTTAACTTACAACCAAGTTTGATAACATTGATTGATTTAAAGAAATTGAATTTGATTTTTTTAAACATTGAAAAAACACAAAATCTCCTAGAAAAATTATTATTTAAGAAGACTTGGAATATTATTTATTGTAATGATATAATAACTAAATTACTCCATGTAAAACAGTTAAACCAGACATTAAGGATAAGATGATTATTTTATTACGGCACAATTATTATTTACAAATTATATAAAGTTAAATTAGCTATATTTTTTTATTACACGATATTATTATTAATTCAACCCTAAAATAAAAAAAATATGATTTCTCTTGCTTGGGGTTATTTCGGTCCTTTTCATTTCTTAAAAACAGTATAAATACTCTATTACCTTTTAAGATAAAATCAAAACTCTTATGCATGGCCTGTGTGGATTTTTTATTAAGGTTTTTTCTCCGTGATATTATGTTAGTTCAAGGGCATTGTTGTGTTTTAATAAAAGCAAATATTTGGTGTGTACATGGTATGTTCCGGCAAGTAAATTTTCTTGAATATTGTGGCGCACATGATATTTTCTTGAATTTAAATATAAAACAAGAATATGACAAGTGAATTTCAATATGCCACGTCAGTGCTCCAAGAGTGTTTAAATATACTTTCAGTATCCCATATTTATTTCTTATCTCTGTACTGAGAACTTGGAGTGTGGTTAATTCTTTTTTTCATATGGGAATGGAAATGTTGAAACTTGTTCCGAAAAGAAGCCCGGTGAGGTGGTCAAAGCTTTTCTAAGAACTAGTTCAGAAAGGGCAATGCATCCCCTGCTTGCATGAGTGCCACGTGAGTTTAACGAGGTGGTTTAGCCAGTAAGGTTAACGTAGCTGTAGCTGTAGCTGGCTAGTCCTTGTCGTAGGCTCGTAGCATTAAATAATGGTGGTAGTCTGGGTTAACGTAGCCAGTCCTAGACCACGGTCCCTCGCTAAGAGGCAGAGAAGGTTGAGTGTTCTCACAAACTTGCTTTCCTTTATGTATCTTTTTCCCTAGGCGCTTTTTCAACCTTTCCCTTTTCTCCCCAATTCCTTGGTATTTCGACTGGATCTGAATTATGTAACGGGAGTCTCTCACTGCTCTAAACTTTAAACATCAACCATTTTTACCTGTGCTTATCTCTACTGACACCCAACTCTAGTTCAATTACAGAGAGGATCCGGGGATCAGGAAAAAAAGAATTTTTTTTTGTTTTTTTTTGCTGAGGACGGTTTAACTTTTCAAGTCTTCAATCTCAGTGCCTTGATCCAAAACTTGCAAGCAGCATCGTCATGTCTGTCCGGTACAGTGAAGTGGTAAGTGTTTGCTTGTTGTTGTTTTTTAAAAATATTTGAAATTTTTTTATTTTTTTATTTACTTTAAATTAATATATTTTTAATATATTAATATTAAAAATATTTTTTTAAAATAAAAAGTTATTAACATGTATTCTCTAACATAAAAAATTATGTAAAAAACAACTATAACAACACTTCTAAATAAAATATATCGGCTTAATCAAAATTATAGTTGGAACAGTTCTCATAAAAATTTAAATTATTTTATTTAAAATTAATTTTTTATAATTTAAAATTGTTTTAATACATTGTTATTAAAAATAATTTAAAAAATAAAAAAATATTAATTTAATTTAATTTTAAATAAAAAATAATTTAAACAACGGTAACATTAAATTAGTGTGTGTAGCAAGTCATTAGCTTTGGTGGCAAAGGCGCAGCTGATAACCCCTTTTTCTTTTTTCTTTTTCATACTCTTCGACTGATCCTGGTTAGAGCTCTTAAGTTAGATCTAATGACTTTACATCACGTTTGATAATTTATAATTAAACTCGTTTATTTGAGCTTTAAAGCATGTAGAATAAAGTTTAAGTAAACGGAAGTAAAACATCAAGTGCATATTCAGTATTTATCTAATAGTTTAGGAATATACGCACGAAACTCTTAAAAATAATAATCATTAGAGGATGCACACTGATAGCTTCCAAACATCATTAGAAATTGAGTTAATATTTTTTTTGTACCTTTTGTTACAAGAAAGTTCAGTTTTTTCCTTCAAAAATAAAAGAAATAGAACGAATAAAGTTCTTGTAATATATGCGGGTAGTTGTTTTAATAATAATAATAATAAAAATCCATTTTCGTTTTAGAGTTTAGGTTAGTTTTATTGCATGGTGAATAAAAAATATCAAAAAAATATAAAACTGATATGAATGTAACACCTCCAACAAATATCATAGCGTCCTTCAGCATAGTTTCTTTTCATGCACATGTATTCTCCTGAATGTCTTAGAAACTGCAATTTAAATAAAGTTGATTGGATAGTAAGAGTATAATAAAAATTCCTATGAAGCAAATTAGAAATATATAATATAGTTAGTTTGACTTGAGCTGATCTATAAAATTTATGATACAGAGTCTGCCCCGAGATAACTAGATAAGAAATTGATGGGATGAAATTCAATTAAATTAATTGTGTTTTTAATAACTTAATTAACTCAATCAAATATGAATCAAACTTGATTAGATCAACATTAAAAAAAATATTAAAAAAACAAAGCTCTTATAATAAAAATAATCGAACCCGTTCTTTTAATAAAAATAACTGAGCCCTGTTACCCAATAAATTAAGCCTTTTCTTGTGTTTGTTACCGAATTGAATATTAATTACAGCTACGATAAAGAACACGATAAAGAACACAAAATTCTTATTACTTGCATGCACTGAACAGCAATTACAGTCCCTTGTTTGAATAAGATCTAATTTACATAGCATAAATCAGCAAAACATGTGTCATGAATAAAAGTTTAATTCATGGTTTTAGTAGCTTTTAGTATATCAACTAGTAGAATTAGCGTTGCATTAATTATAATTGTTTTATTTTAAAGAGTCTGTTTTCACTATTATGAATATAAATTAACTATGTACGTGAGAAAAAGAGCCACCAACAATTTTTATAAACATCATACTTCTTCGAATCTTACTATTTATATTTTTTAAATTACATATAAATACACGAATCCACTGAGGACTCTCCAAGTTTACAAGTCATCTCCCATGATTTGGCTATTTGATGATATAAAAAAAAATAGATATAATTTTAAAAAGGATTTTATATTACTCTATATTTAAAGATTTTACTCAATACATACGAATACGATACAACTCGGCTATCCCCCTAGCTTAAAATAAATTATGAAAAAATACATCTACATCCACAATGTCTTGCAAATACGTGAACAGTTTTTATTCAACAGCCTACCACAATTATAGAACCGCTGGCTGTTCTTTATGATAGTAAAAAAATTGAAAATTCCACCGTTACGTATGATTGATTGATTATTTTTCAAAGTATTTTGTATATTAAAATATATTAAAATATTTTTTATTTTTAAAAAAATTATTTTTAAAATCAACATATTAAAATAATTTAAAATATATAAAAAAATTAATTTTTTTAGAAATACGAGAGTCCAAAAACTCACGCTCATACTATTCCCACGTTTTTTTTTAATTTTCAATTATCGCTATTCTGCATTGCCATCTCTATTCTTAACCAGATCACGGGTTATAGTGCCACAGACTGCCAAAGTACACAGCGTGAATTCTTACTTATCTATCCTCGCATAATTGCATGTAACGAACAAAGATAATGATAATTACATCCAAGTCTGGAAAATTACACTGTTATTAATTTTAATATCAATTAATTAAAATATACATAAATCAATCTAAACATTCATATTAATTAAAAAAAGAGAGGCTCCCTTCACTGAATTTCGTTGAACAAATGGTAATGGTCACGCAGATGTACTAATATACGTGTGCTCTGCCCTACTGTACTGTATCTCTACATCACTGAACAACCCTATCTTCTACTCTCTACAACTCCTGACTCGCAGCCTGGTCTCACATGACTAACCTGCAGCACCCTAACAAATCAAGACAAAATAAAAGCCATCCCCTCTTTCCCTTCCCCTCTCTCTTTCTGTACCAGTAAAAAAGCTTGGCCCTCTGCCACCCCATTTTCAGGTACTATTCTGCAACTCCCATTCACCTAAGCTACCCCCTCGTTTATTTATTAAAAAAAAAAAAACCCTTGTTCTCTCTTTCTCTCTCTCGTCTCCCCTTTCTCCCTCTTTTAAAACAAGACTCGCCCCCTCTTTTATTTCCCTGAAGTCGCTTTATTTCTTCATTTTACTATTCTGGCTCTCCCAACAATGGAAGCTTTCAGCTTGCTCAAGTACTGGAGAGGTGGTGGTATTGCTGTTAATGGTGGAGGGTGCGGTGAAGATGGCAATTACAACTCACGCGCCACCACAATTGTCTCTGCTGTGTCTCCAGACAGAGTGGAAACTGATGATGAGAATGATGACGATGGTGGGCCTTTTTTTGACTTGGAGTTTGCAGTTCCTGACGAAGAAGAAGAGGAAGGAGCAGAAAGCAAAGATGAGATAAAAGAAAACAATGGTGCTGGTTCTGATGAGGAAAACGATGCTGCTGACACTTCTGGTGATGATGATGATGGGATGGACGAAGAGAGGGAGTTCAATTTCACTCTCTCTTCGGCGTCTAGCAATGACAGGAGGGATCAAAATCTTGCTCTTTCTCCTTCCGATGATTTGTTTTTCAAAGGAAGGCTTGTGCCGATTGAGTCATCCTCGCTCGAGCTGAACTCCAAATCCTCTCAGTTTTCGGTGTCATTGCTAAAATCTGCTACAAAATTTCGCGTCTTCATGTCGGGATTAAAGAGAAAACCAAACACTACAACAACAAATGAAAAGACAGAAGCTAACGTGCCGACATTAGCTTCTGCTGCTCCTAAACAACAAGGCGAGAAAGATGAGGAAAATGGCAAGCAAAGTAAGCTTTTCACTGTGAAATTTAAGGTCGAGGAAGTTCCTATAATGTCCTTCTTTACCAGGGAGAATAGCAAAAACATCAAGTCATCACAGCAGAAGCAGAATTCAGCCGAAGAATCAACTGCTTCTGCTGCCGATGCTGCTTTTTCAGATGATAAGCAGAAGTTTTCTAAGGATGTAATGCAGAAGTATTTAAAGAAAGTTAAGCCTCTTTATATCCGTGTGTCTAAACGGTATGGTGAAAAGCTGAAATTCTCCGGGCAATTAAGTTTCGGCTCCGGACCAAAAACATCCGCTCCTCCGTCACCATCCACGGTGGCCCAGAAACCAATAACGACTGATAATGGAGGAAAGGAGAAGGAAAGCGCGGAAGCTCCGACGGTGGCGGTGAGTAGTATGAAGGGTCCTAAACAGGGGAATTTGCCTGCTGGGTTGAGAGTTGTGTGTAAGCATTTAGGGAAAAGCAGATCAGCTTCATCTGCGGCGGCGGCTCATCCGGTTCCTGTTTTGTCAAATAGGAGAGATGATTCGCTGTTGCAGCAACAGGATGGGATCCAGAGTGCTATTCTTCATTGCAAGAGGTCATTTAATGCATCTCGAGGTAATAGTCATTAATGTAATTAATTATTCTAATTACTCTTACCAAATACTCTGCCCTGTAGTTGACGGATTTTGTTTTTGGTCTTGTTTTGCTGGGTTTTCTGCAGATTCCGATTCCTCTGTGCTATCAAGGTCAGCGAGTGATCCATCTCATGAGAAATCACTGGAAATAATGGCGAGGAAGGCATCAGACCATGAAGGGAAAGGTTCTTCCGTGGACCCAAAAAGGGCGGGAAAATGAGATCGATGGATCAGAGACTGACGATGATCTTTTGAGGTTTCTGTAAAGAAAATGATGATTTCTGAAACGAGCACAGGTGGACTAGGAAATCAGTTATCAGCCCATTTGTTTTTAATTTTATCCCGTGTAAATATGCCTTGTTTAAGAGGAACGTTTGCCTAGTGATCAAGCTTAATGACTAGTTTATTAGCACTTGCTGGTTACTACTACTCTGAATGTAGAAGGGTTACTAGTAATCTCTTGAAATCAATAGCAGAATTAGCATCGGCCTTGCATGCTTGTCTTCTCCCCATGAATTGATTACAAAGGAAACAGAGAAAGGGTACTGTGTCTATAGATGTCATTAAAATCATGGGTGTTTTTGGATTTATCCCATATGGGTCCTCAAGTCAGGATACAAGAGGTGTCTTTAGTGGTCAGAGAAGTGGGGAAAGTGGAAACCTGAACAGTAAAAAGATTTTCTTTTCTCAAAGGAAGAGAGAGAGAGCGAGAGAGTAGAGGTATCAAAACTCGAAAGAGTGAAGATGCCATCTTTCTTTCTCTTGCCAAGATATACAGTCTCTCCTGCCCTCGTTTTATCCTAGTTTAACACAAAAACTCTCTTTATGGTCTAATCTTGGAATTAGAGAAGTTTACTGATGATGCTGATGCAGCCCCGATTTATGTGTGGTGTGAAATAATATTTTGCAGATTCAATCTGTCTCCTTGTTGGGTCCAACAAAACCGCTGCTCCGTTTACTACTCTGCTATACTGTCTTGTGGCAAGCCTTTTGTCGTTTCGGCTTGTAATCAGATTCTGTGCGCTCTCCCTTTTTCTTTTTAGTCTACGCTATGTAGCTAGGCTATGTAGCATAATCCAAGGCCGAATAATGTTGTTAACGAAGTTGTTGTTCATAGGGGCAAACCCCATTCTTCCTCCGAGCATGTTTTGGGTTGTGGCCTTTTTAGCATTGGTTGGTGGTCACTGCCCATTAATCAGCTTCTGCATTGAATTTGAAAGGTGGGAGAGAGAGAAAGTCACGGTGTTTTGTGTTTCTCTCAAAATTTGTCACCCAACAATTTCACGAATCCATAAGAAGAACCACAGATTGTTGCAGTTTTAATTATACCAAAACAATCCTTTGTTTTTGTTTTTTCGTTTTTTTTTTGAATTTTTTTCTCCCTTTCAAATAAACCTTTGTATAGTCTACGTAGATGGAATTTGGCTTGAAATTATGGAGGTAATACCATATTAAAAGTTAGAGGTATGAAAAGTTAAACAGGAAGGAAATATGGCTCACTCCAAATTTGCAACAGTTATTTCCTAAAATTTAATTAATTTATTTTTCAATCTTCTAGTTAGAGAGATATTCAACAACGAAAATAGTTATTCTTAATGTTAAAAAGTTTCATTTCACGATGAAAGTTTAATAATATTTATTTTGAACTTTTATTTAATTTTAAAAAATAGATTGGGGTGGAGAGCAAAATCTTTTCCAATATGATTTTGTATTTTTGGTTTTTTTTTATTTAAGTGGATTTTTGGGTTCCAAGGTGTTTATTATGCATTTTATGGTCAAAATAGATAAAAAAAATTGATTTTTCTAGGGAAAAAAAAATAATAAGCTTGATTTTTTGACCATTATAATAATAGCTGAATTTTAAATAAAGACAAACAATATATTGTTTATCTTTATTTAAAAAAAAAAGATGAATGACATGTTTTTTGGACTAAAAAGCCTTGCATATGTGTTGAGTTACCCAAGCCAGGCCAAGCCTGCACATCTAAGTTTTTATTTTTATTTTCCTTCTAATCTAGTTTTATTATTGGAGAATAATTTAAGCTCCATTTGTTTGCAGGAAAATTATTTTTACCTTACATTGGTTGCAGGCCTAGTAACTACATGTTAGCTTAAGTTAATGAAACCCAAGTCATCATTTGCATCAATAACACCTAAAATTTTGTTAATATTTTTTTTTTTTAAAGTAGGCATAGATTCATGATTAAAACAATACAATAATGTTTTTGCCCTTTAAAGCAAAAACCTAATTAATTATCTTCGTGAATAAAAAAAATATTTTTTTTTATGAAATTCATTTGTTATTAGAAATTTGATTAGGATTATAATGATAAGTTTTTTAGTGATGAGACGGTATCCATAGTAAAATAATAGTTAATTTCAAATGGTTTTTTTATCTCATCTTGAGCATGGTATTGAAATCTTGTTTTTTTATGATTTTTTTATTATATTGTTAAATTAACTAGGTTTATTAAATCTAATCAAGTTAATAAATCAGATTTCAAATCTTTCTTACTTCTTTATAAACATTAATATCATCTTGGCATATTTTTTTTTATGTTAGGAAAATGACGACTCAACTCATGGCATAACAAAAACAATTTATCTAATGACTTACTATCATAAAAGAGCTTAGCTTATAATTAAGATTTTTGTATTTTATTTATGGCTATGTAAATTTGAATTCTTGTTCCTCCAACAATTAAGCTATTCATTCAAGAAATTGTTATAAAACTTGGTATGGTGAAACATGTTGATCCCATAACTTCTAGCAAACAATGTTGTTTCAAGCCTTTTTTTTTTTTAAAGTAACGAAGGAAAAGCTTAGACTGATTCATTAACTTGCAGATTACTCGCTCGACTCATGATCTAAATTTTAAATTGAATTGTTTTATGGGTTGAATTTTATAACTATATGTTAAAGAGTCTAGGCCCTTGCATTTTATAACTATATGTTAAAGAGTCTAGGGTTAAAAATAGATAAAAAAAAAAGTAAAAATAGTTGAAATCCAAATTGATTGCTAAGTTTTAAAATAACAAATAATCAAGGTATCTTATGTTTTATATTCTGTTTAAGGCGGCATGAGAAATGAGGAGATGCATGACAATAAGAGCGAGCATACACGTTGAACTACCGTCCTCATATCTGGATAGTCTTCGAGTATCACTGACAAAAACAGAGTATTGTTTAAGTTACAAAGGCAAGTTTGGGAATCATGAGCTGCGAGGGACTAATCCCCTGTCAAAAGCCTGGATGGTTTTTCATACTTCTTTATAGAGAAATAAACTAAGCTCAATGCATGCACCAGAGACATTTTTTTTTTGCCTGCAGTAGACTAAATTCATGCCCCAAGAGAGGGAGACACTTTTTTATCTCAAAAAGTCCCAACATTCCTATCGTTAATCCTTTAATCCAAGGGATTGGCTCTTCTTCAGTGGTTGATATGTCTCTTTTTTGCTCTTCAATTTCAGCTACTTACTTCGTAACTTTGACTTCATACATCGAGTTCATAGGCAATCTTGGATTTGCCTTTCAATACTAATAATTTGTGCCTTGATCTGTGGACTGCCATAAGTTCTACTGATTTTTACGCGGTTGCCTGTCAGCGATAACAACCTTTGATAAAAGTGGTCCCTGTTTCAAACAGAGCAAATTCATTGTGGAGTTATTAGGAGTAGACAAAGTTAATTAAGGATCCCACCGCATCTACACTTGTTATCATCCCAACCTTTAATTAATACCGATTGCAGTTTGGTGCCAGGTTAATACATAAGTAGTCATAAGGAAATTAGAGAATTTTAATCAAAAATAAAAATTGAAAGAAAATTAAAGGGATAACCAACAAAAAATCCAGTTACACATGGGTTCAAAATTAAAGTCATCGAATGGTAAATAGAGTAAATAAAAAAAATAATAATTAATTATAAAAAATAAACTTTTAATAAAATACTCAATAGGAGAAAAAAAAAGTTTCGTTAGAGACTCAACGTCCCTCTACTATAAACATCGTTTTATCATAAACAAAATTTATTAAAATGATTTTAATGTAATTATAAAAAGTTGAATAACAATATTAAAAAAAAAGGTGATATTCATACGCTATATTATAAAATTAAGATAACCATTTAGAAAACTATGAATCCTAATTTTTTTTAAACCAACATCAAGTAATAAGATAGGAAAAAAGAGTCTAAAAGAAAGATGAGAACCTATCTTATCTCATAAGAGTTGTGACTTGGGCTATTTAATTGGAAGTATCAAATTTAAAAAAAACTAAGAATATTAAATTTAAAAAAATTAAATATTAAAAGATAAAATTTTTAAAAAATCAATATCACAAAAAAGAATTAAAAAAATAGCAACTAAAAAATAAGAATAAAATTTGAAAAAAAATAGAAGGTGAATAATTTTGGATTAAAAAGCTAAATTAAAAATAAAAATTAATTTCACTAAATAATTAAAGAAAAAACATCCAAAAAGATGCTCAGAAAATCTTAAAAACTCAACAAATTAAATTTTTTATTAAATAATAAAATTAAAAACAATTGAAACTTTATGAAAAAAAGGCAAGAAAAAATAAAGAAAAAAAAGAGTCAGCACTTAATTTTAAAAAAAATCTAAATTAAAGGATGTAATTAAAAAAAATAAAAAAAACTTATAAAAATATCAAAAATAAAAATTAACAAATAAAAAATAAAAATCAATACCCAAATATATCCGGCTAATAGAACTGCCTTGAAATTTTAAATGACATATGCGAATCTCAAGGCATGAGAGAGAAAAAAAAGAAAAAAAAAAGAAAGCTCCTGCCTATCAAAGAGAGAAAAAAAAAAAGAAAGCTCCTGCCTATCAAAACTTAATACAGGCTACCTGGGATGAAAGAAAAGACTGTAACAAATCCAATCACATAATAGAAAAAAATTTCTTTGTCATTTTATGAAGGCGCACTCGTTGTCGAAACACAACTGGCGCCTATCTGATTCTTTTTTATATATATTTTTAATTATTTTAAACCCACCTGAAAATACAAAACTACATTTAAATCATGCCAAAATCAATTCAGGATAAAGGTTAATTTCGTGAATTTACTGAGCTAAGAATAATAAAAATATAAAAATACCTTCGTAGCAAGCCTTAATTAAGTCCACCATAAAGGATAAAGGATAAGCTAGTAATTATAGTGTGAAAAAAAATATAAAATCTTAAAGTAACCCCTAGCAACCACGCATCTGAGTGTTTTCTTTTAACGATGGCGAGGATATTTCACATTTAGAAAAAAAGAATGAAAATCAGTTTGAATCCCTGCTATAAGTGAGAATGACAATTGAATCACATAAAAAAGATAATTAGAAACCAGACCTCAGTCTTCTCATCTGATTTGATGAAGAAAAAGAACAACATTTTACTATTATAATCCACCACTCAAATT